CACTACAACACTCAGTCGTCAGGAGTGATACTCAAGCAACAGCCATGGGGTCCAGCCACCATGGAGTACTATCCGACGAACTCTGGAGATCCCAGTGGGTTAATTCCACCACACAAATATAGCCCTACTGAGGTAGACACTCATCCACCAATGATGGGGGCTGGTAGTGGTGTGTGGCTTGGTGGTCCGGGGTCACCTCGTGGACCGAGCGTTAGGGCCAGACGAGCCAGCTATGGGGGCTATAGGTGGTCTGAAGTGTCTGACGGCCGGGTCTCACGAAGGTAACTGATCCTACTGGACCTCGGACATGTCCCCAGACATAGTGGATACAACATCCACCCTACAGACACGGCCTAGGCTGCGTTAGGGACCTGTATGGATGAAGGGACGGGCACTTACTAACTGGTGACAACAACAACACGTTTCAGGGGACGTTAAAGACGTAAATATGACTTTACTCAGAGCATATCAACTACGTTACTGTAACACTTGCACAATCAACTATCAATTGGGTCAAATCACTTAAAGAAGGGCAAATTACAACACAGCGTGGAATGGCATACCTGTATGGATGAAGGGACGGGCACTTACTAACGGTTAAAATGCCCGCGGCGCCCTCACTCAAACTAGGCCAGGGAGTCCAGCTACTCCTATTCCAATGAATTAATTTACGGTACCCTCTGACGTTGAAATTGAGACTATGAACTCCTTTTCATTCTCTACTATTATCTTCACTAACAATGCTCTGACTCAGCTATCGAAAGCAAAATTAAATTGATTACAAAGGAATGGATGGCAACAGGTCCCAGCATACAGCGTCTGCTCCCATAGACAAAGGCGGGGGAAACAGAGAAAACGGGGGACGTTTCCACTGGGGGACTCGGAAGGTTTTGTGGACGTTTGAGCGTAATATGAATCCTTAAGGTTTTCAGGTTAGCTCTTATCATGACCATTACAAAGCTTCCTCCTTCCCCAAGATTCATCATTATGCGGTAACGTTCAGAAAACACGTAAGTAGTGACATACATATTAAATCATTAATATAAAGTATAAATCCTCATACAAACATTGCACAAATTATATCAATAAAACTAGAAAAATAATTCCCTACCGGTGGTCAGGATTAGGTACAAGAAATGGAAATCTGTTAACATACAATTAGAATGTGACACACCTTCATAAAAAATATATTGGGATACATATTACAAAATAGCACCAAAAATAATAGCACATGGGGTTAGGTACATCATGTCATAATAATACTGAATGGCGGTAAATACATCATATCATATAATGATAAATGGGGTTACATACATAATATCATATAATAATAAATGGGGTCAAGTACATCATCATAGAATAATAATGATTTGAGTTAGATACCTCATATCATATAATAATAAATGGTGTTACATGTTACAAAATACACCCTCACATCGGTAGATAAAATGCACACTCAAAATTTCCTTACAGAACTCAAATTTCAATGTTCATAGATTATGAAAGTTTCTTTTACGCGATTGGTCAAATGCTGACAGGACACACTGAGATTTAACATAGATTTCTCAAGCTAGGACATAGACGAACGGACCCCATCAAGTCAAAGGAATGATTTGTTGCCCTTAATCTAAAGAGTTATGTCGCACTCGCGAGAGGCAGCACCCTTCAAGGGACTCCGAACGAGCGGGTATTCCCAAGAATTCAATGCTAACGAAACGGTCCTCATGAGAACACCACCAAACCAAAAACTGTCTGTACTTATGGCATTTGCCATGTAGAAGTAATAGCACCATATTTATATGCCCGAATACTCCCTGAAAGTCACGAACTCTACACCTATATACCAACAACACCCAGCCTACGTAGGACTTACCAACCAGAACTTGAGAATTCACCACTGGTATCTTTACTCATACTAGTAACAGATACCCTTCAGATGATTGCATAACTGCCAATACATCTTCCAATCTCTGTCTTTACTGCAAATTGACCCTTCCTCTGCAAAATACTTTTAACCCCCCAAAAAAAAAATCCTCCATTTTTTTTTTTCTTCTTCAATTACCAAAAGTTACCTACAACAGATTGTGCACTTCACTACCCATCAACAACCAAGGAGGTTCACTTACAAAGCCCACTGTTTCTTAAAGATCCAGTCTAACCACTGGTTTTCTCCTCCTTTACCCATGGCTTTAGCGAGTTTAGCCAGAAGTGCTTGGACTTTTGTTGCTAAATCAACAGCGGCTTTGGCCGTCATGGTCCCCTTATTTGCGTTAGCATCTGCCATTGTGTTACAACAAATCAATACTACAGGTATACCCCACTGTAAATACAATACACGCACAGTGCTCACTCAAGACCCAAGGACTGGTACGGATTTTCTGCAATACGACTAACACTCCATGCATCAACTATTCAAACTACTGTCCAGATTATTAATCTCCCCAAAGATAATATTATGGCATCAAAAATTCACTTAGACACTTTGCCATTCACAGACTCAGTATGGTGCAACACTGCGTGAACACTTCACGAATTTCCGTACTCACAATTCTGGGTCCATACACTCGTATAACATTTTCCATATACCGTATCACCATAAGGTCCTCACATATATAATACTGTATTCTGAAAGTATACTGGCATTAGAGTTCACATAACATAAGTTACCCAAAATAATGACCCGTTAGCACCTGGTTAAAATAACTTTAAATTATAGCGTATACATAGGAATATTAATAGTAGGAACTGTAAAATGCCCCGAGATATTAAGTAAATGGAATATATATCCTACCTAACACATAACTAAAGAATATGACAAGTACAGAATTAGCATCCACTTAACCTTTGCATATAGTGCAATGCTTCTGTTAGCACTCAGAATTAAAACACTGGGCACTCCCACGATGGAACATTTCACAACTAGTGCCACGGCCCAAACATGTATTCACTGTCTGTAAGTAATACTGAGTTAACAACAGAAAAAAAATTTGGGCAGATTGTTACATATCAAAATTCTTCCAATATTAATGAACCTTATTCACACTCTACAAGTTATTGTTGCAGGTTTCCTTTTACTTTAAACAAGACTTTTCTAACCTAACTCCAAGGTATTTCTTTGAACTTATTTCACTCTCTCTGCAAACCACCACAAAAAGCTGTACCTCGGAAAAATATGGGACAAAATCATTAGCAATCTGAAATACTCATTAGTTACAGTGGAATGGTTATTAAATACCCGTACAGAGAAATGGTTATAACTCAGTTAAAAACTACAGTATCACAGTCATTCCTCCCAACTCGATACTATGTTCATTACATCACCATAGCTGCCACCATTTATGAGGGCTTGAGCTGCCACCATTTATGAGGGCTGCTACTGCCACCCTTCATGAGGGCCTGTGTGCCAGTAACAATTCCTTTTACTCTTATATATCACCATTGGTAGCGTGACGATAGGAGGCTCGTGGGTAGGTGTAATGATAGTATCAAGCAATAGGGAAGAAATAACGGTAAATACTGTAGGTAAATAATATACACAATTATACAAATACAAAGTTTATTTAAACATGAATATGAAATTAGAAGAAAGGATTGGTTTGTACTAACAGACGAAATCTCGTACTAGGCCCTCAGGCACAACATACTCACACCATTACTGGGTGGACACATTCAATACCCTTCCAACCCTACTGGGTGGACATACTCAATAGCACAACTAGGATAGTCACTTAGCACCATACATATTAGAGCAACTGCCACTACAACACTCAGTCGTCAGGAGTGATACTCAAGCAACAGCCATGGGGTCCAGCCACCATGGAGTACTATCCGACGAACTCTGGAGATCCCAGTGGGTTAATTCCACCACACAAATATAGCCCTACTGAGGTAGACACTCATCCACCAATGATGGGGGCTGGTAGTGGTGTGTGGCTTGGTGGTCCGGGGTCACCTCGTGGACCGAGCGTTAGGGCCAGACGAGCCAGCTATGGGGGCTATAGGTGGTCTGAAGTGTCTGACGGCCGGGTCTCACGAAGGTAACTGATCCTACTGGACCTCGGACATGTCCCCAGACATAGTGGATACAACATCCACCCTACAGACACGGCCTAGGCTGCGTTAGGGACCTGTATGGATGAAGGGACGGGCACTTACTAACTGGTGACAACAACAACACGTTTCAGGGGACGTTAAAGACGTAAATATGACTTTACTCAGAGCATATCAACTACGTTACTGTAACACTTGCACAATCAACTATCAATTGGGTCAAATCACTTAAAGAAGGGCAAATTACAACACAGCGTGGAATGGCATACCTGTATGGATGAAGGGACGGGCACTTACTAACGGTTAAAATGCCCGCGTGCCCTCACTCAAACTAGGCCAGGGAGTCCAGCTACTCCTATTCCAATGAATTAATTTACGGTACCCTCTGACGTTGAAATTGAGACTATGAACTCCTTTTCATTCTCTACTATTATCTTCACTAACAATGCTCTGACTCAGCTATCGAAAGCAAAATTAAATTGATTACAAAGGAATGGATGGCAACAGGTCCCAGCATACAGCGTCTGCTCCCATAGACAAAGGCGGGGGAAACAGAGAAAACGGGGGACGTTTCCACTGGGGGACTCGGAAGGTTTTGTGGACGTTTGAGCGTAATATGAATCCTTAAGGTTTTCAGGTTAGCTCTTATCATGACCATTACACTAGTGCTTCCAAGCATAAGCACAAGTCACTATCTATCCAGGAAAAAGGTGAATTTCCATGGTCCGGCACCGGTCCAGTCCCGAGGTTGCCGGACTAGAGAGGTACAACCTGTACTGTATTAATCTACACCACGAAGACTTAGTATTAAGGTGTTTAATCCAGTCCTTCATTATTAATTATCACTCTTTTTATATTTGCCATGTTTATGTTTTTTGCTTTTTTTTTTCACAGTTTGCCTCATACTGTAAATGAATGCCCAGCTGATCTTATATTTTTTTCTGTTCTAGTGCTATTTCCCTCAGTGGTTTTCGGTAAGTTATCACACACATACAGTTAGATTGTCTGTAAGCTTTCCTTGTAATGTTTGAGGATGCACTTGTTCCTTGTATTATATTGCACTGAAGAATTTGTTTGATATTTGTATACTGTGCCTTGCATTCTTATTGAAAGTTTTGTTAATTACAGGAATGTATTTTACGCACCAACCTCCATAAATTATTGCTAATACTTTTAACTCATTAGTAATTTTAATTATACAGTGTTTATTTTCTGTTGTTTCTGAACTACTCTCTAAAACATTAAGTTTCAACATGGCAGTGAAGAATATGTATACAGGCATCCCCCGCGTTACGGAAGGCTTGAGTCCCTGGAAAATTGACCGTATTGCGCAATTCCGTAACGCGAATCCAATTTTCCCATTGACTTCCATTATAAAACTGGAGATGCGTTCCTAAGGAATTTTTTTCGGCCCCAAAAAAGTAATTCAAGCACTTCTATGAATGAATATAAACATTTATAAACACATACAATACAGTATATTAAATAATTTATGATATACTGTACATGTAATATGAAGAGAAATACAGTTGGAATAAATAAAAATATTGTACTGTACTCACCTTTGAGGCTTCTTTTTGCACTACTGCGGTCACTTCCACTTGATGGCCTCTTTCCAGTCATCTTGAATAAAGGTAATGCACTGTACTGTACGTACTGTATGTTTGTAAAAGTTAAATCTAACTGCTGGGGCAAGAAACATGCGCGCACACTGGATGTAAACAATGGAGTGACTCCGCATGGCGATGCCACGCTTGGCGGTAGCAAACACCAAGAAATCCACACCAAACAAATTATAATTTTTACATAAAATTTTAATTTTATAGTGTTTTTTTTTTTTTATACCCCAATTTCTGTAAGGACGTATTTAAGTGCCTTATCGCGAAATTATTGGTCATAATTTACAAATTCCGTAAGAGCGAAATTCCGCAACCCGGGGTTCCGTAACGCGGGGGATGCCTGTACAGCTCTATCCATATTGCAGAAGCGTGATACAGTATACTGTAGCTTCTTTTGTAACTTTTCACATTTTGTATGCCTATAAGAAGTCTTCTTATTCCAGTAGATTGAGTTTGTTCACCTTATTTCATTTGTTGTTATTGTTCTAGTTCGTGACCAACTATAATTCTGTCCATAATCATGTCTTGTACATTGCTGTTCACACAGCAGTTATATTTCATGTATTTCATCACTTCACAAGTAACAAGTAGTCTATAGTCTCTTTCTCGTCTGACTTTTTGTTTTAACTTAGCTCACAATAGTCTAGTAGTCCCTTTTAGTTATTGTACTGTACTGTACTGAGACAAATATGCAATGCAACTGCAATGATCTACTTGTGGAATGAAAATGTTTTGCCTCTGATTGGTTGATGCTCCCCCACCTACTGTTGATGCATCTAAATGCTGACTTACCATTGACTGCAACTTCCTTGACAGTTGCAGCGTCCTGGCACTCCTTCACAAGAAGTTCTGGCTTATTGATGGCCATATGTTCGTTGCACACTCCTGTTTTAACCTCTGCAATGTGCTGTATCACCTTGGGAACAGAGGCCTACTTCCTCTTCAAGTAGTGCTGTCTAATTATTAGGAAAGAAGTAGGCAGGCTAAAACTGAAGCTCTTCACAATTTTTTTCATTAACCCTCTCAAGCATTTTGACACAAATAGCATCAAATCTTTGGGTAACATTTATGCAAAATAATTGCAGCATTTTTCCATGCATCATTGATGACTGCATGATTTCACGATGGGAACTTCAATAAAGTACCAAAGCATGGGAGGAGTTCAGCTGTCCATCAGTTTCCTCCCATCAGCCTTGCTGGTAGGTCGTGTTTGTCCCTTTAATTCCTCTCCCACCCTCCCCACTATGTCATGAAAATTCCAAAGCTCATAAGATTCCACTTTTATAACTGATAATACCTTGGTGGGTTTGTGATAAAATATCTGAGATATGAAGTTGAGAACAAATTTTTTTTCTTTATTCAGAGTGAAAAAATATAGCCTTATTCTCTTTTTTTTTCTTTATTCAGAGTGAAAAAATATAGCTTTATTCTCTTTTTTTTTTCTTCTTTTTTTGTGCATGTTAAAGCCAAAACAATAATGAAGCCAGTGATTTATAAATTATGCAAAAACATTCTTGTAGGATAAATTGGTTGCAGAACGATGATGCCCAGAACACACTTGAATGGTCCCATATAACTTTTGCCATGGTCACACATGCTTGAAAACTTATTGCCTGTGCAATAGGGTTAAGCTGGTTAAGTATTGTAATAGCAACAGTGTTTTCTGTTGTAAATTACAGTATAAACTAAAGAGATGTGTGACAATGACACATACCCGGTTGGGGAGAGGACTTTGGGTAGTTTGGGAAAATAACTAGGCTGGTGGGCCTCTACAACCAGTCATGTTGGGCTAAAAAGAGGCTTGTGTACAGGAACAACTCAATTAACTATTGTTTGGGTTTCAACACTTGGATGTTGTGAACAAGGCTCTCTGATCCTAACCAGCAATACAGTATATATCAAAACTACCTCAGATTTGAAGAATGATCATAATAAATGTGACCAAAAGTGAAGTTATTAATGTACGAAGAGAAGGTTGATAGGGAGAAATGAATGGTAATTGAGGTAAGACAGAATGAAAGTACAGTACTGAAAGCAAATTACTGGAAGCAATAATTTCAAACTACAGTATTCAAAAGCACCTGGAGAAGCACAAGTTGATCAGTGTTTCCCAACATGCCTTCACAAATGAGCGTGAAAGTCTGACAAATCTATTAACATTGTTTTCGAATCAGTGGATGATGGACACAATTATAAAGTGGTAAACCTCGACTTTAGTAAAGCCTTCAACAGAGTCCCCCACGAAAGACTTAATACGCAAAGAGTAGGTTAATTGGAGGATTATTCTAAAATGGATTAGGGTATCGTTACAGGACAGGAAACAGCGAGTAAGCATTAATGGCACTAAATTCGATTGGGGTAACATCACTAGTCGAGTACCCCAAGGCTCAGTACTTGGACCATTACTATTTATTATAATACAGTATACATAAACGACATAGATATAGGCGTAGACAGCAACATAAGTAAATTTGCTGGTGACACTAAAATAGAGCATGTAATTAAATCTGATGAGGACTCCACAAAACTATAGGAAGATTTAAACAATTTTTTTGCATGGTCTGAAAAATGGCAGATGAAATTTAATGTGGACAAATGTAAAGTACTTAGTCTAAGATATGTAAACAGAGAAACAACATATCAGATGAACAATGTTGTTAGAGAGAAATCCTAATGTGAGTAAGATTTAGAAGTACGTAATGATAAGTAGGAATCGTAAACCAAGACAACAATGTGTGTTTTCTCGAAACAAACCTAACAAAGTACTTGGGTTATACAAAAGAGTGCCATTTACAAAACTAGCGAGGTTATCTTAAAACTATCTTGCACTTGTGACACCTCAGATGAATTACACGGTTCAGTTCTCATCACCGTACTACAGAATGGATATACAGTGGTCCCTCGGTTAACGAGCACAATCCATTCTAAAGAAGGTTGCTCGTTAACCGAAACCATTGTTTCAATGGGTTTTGGGGTAATTGGTTCCAGCTCACCGAAAATTGCCTAAATTCAACAAAAAAGGTAGAAAAGTAAACTTACTTTGAGGTGTGTATGTAGAAGGTTCCTGGATGATGATGATGGGAATTAGAATGGGGGTGGAGGAGAAGAGAAGGCATTGGGGTGGAAGAGAAGTCACCCCATGGCGCCATTTCACCCATGAAATTTTAGTTCTCTTGGTGTAATTCAAGATTATGTTCTTTAAATCAACACTGCACTGCATTATATATTGTCAATATGTAAAATAAATTTCAAAATGACCAATAATTTGCTTGCAAACACAGAAAAAAAGCATTTAGTTGAAGAGAGTCTCAAGCAAGATGTTACCTCCACTGAAAAGACACAAAGACTGACGCCTGTATGGTGTGTTAGCAGGCTGGATGGCATGTTCATTAATTGTTAAAATTACTAAAAAATTTAATATTAAACTTTTAAAATTATTGAATAGTATAAACTTCTTGATATTTACTAAAATGGTAAGGAATTTAAGCCCTAGAACCGATCACTGTACTGGCGGACTAATACTACAGCTGGTGGACCGCCAAATGCAAGCGAAAACATGTTCAGGTCAGCTCGTAAGAAACTCGTTAATCGAGGGATTGCTCGTTAACCGAAGCTAAGAATCGTATGGAAGGTAACTCGTTAACCGAAATCTCGTTAACCGAGGCGCTCGTTAACCGAGGGACCACTGAATCCAGAGAAAGAATTCAGAGGAAAATTACAAGAATAATCCCAGGCATTAGGAACCTTGAGTACAGAGACAGGTTAAAGCATCTTAATTTGCACTCCCTCAAGATGTAGAATGAGGGGCGATATGATCAAGGTGTATAAATGGAAGTCGGGGTTAAACAAAGGTATGCAAATTATCCAACCAGGAGCAAACTCGTATCAGTGGTTTTAAATTAGACAAATTTAGATTTTGGTGCGAGATAGGTAAACATTGGTTTGGAAATAGAATAGTGGATGAGTGGAACAAGTTACCAAGCATCATCATTAACTCGAACACGCTGGGTAGCTTCAAATTTAGTATGGACGGATATATGAGCAAGTTTGGTGTGTCAGTAAATACAGTAAACCCTCAAAATTCCAGACCCCATAAGTCTGGGTTTTGGATAGTCTAGATTTTTTCCGGGCAAGACACATTTATCCAAACCCTTAAATATTTAACGTTTGAAATTCACTCCAACCAACAATCCCTTGGCCTCTTTCTTCCTCTCAAACCCGCGAGTGAGCATTTTATTCCCCCACTCCTAGAATGGGCTCACTCATAATGCTTGGTTAGCTCTAAGTGCAACACCCATTCAGGCTCAGAAAAATGGTAAGATTTTAGGTAAAATAATTCAAAAAATGGTGATGGT